ACACAAAACCTGTCATTATTGCTTTCAGTGCGTCACAATCAGCGATTTTACGATTCGTGAACGCTCACTCTGAGTGAACGCTCACGAGTCATAAATTCGCTGATTGTGATGCACTGAAAGCGAAATTGACAGGTTTTATGTGTCAAATACATACTTTCCAACCTCTTCTTGCTTCTGACAAGTACAAACTTTCATAATAGCATCCAATGATTCCATAATTCCGAAAAACATTTTTTATAGCGAAGTGAGTGGAAGTAACCCTGTTTATAGGGGATAACGCTAATGTAAATTTTGGTGGCATCAATCGAAATCCTGGTCGAAACGTTTTCACTTTGCTGATGGAACGTTTGCAAATCCCAAATTTAGTTGGTGTCGGCTGCCCTGTACACATAGTTTCCAACAGCCTTCATCATGGCATTGATCTTATAAGTGTGGGTATGAAGTCTATAACATTGAATTTTTTTACATTTTTTTTTAATTTACACGGTAAGGCTAAGGACTTGGAGTATTTTGTGGACTTAATTACCAACCATTACCGAGTCATAGCAAAACTCGATGGTTGAGTCTGTGGAAAGTGTTCTTAAGCTTTATTCAGCTCTCAACTCAACAAACAATTGCCTATTTAAGAGACGACTTCTTGACGATTTTATTCCACTTCATGCTTAATAATACTTGTACTATTTTTAATAATAACTTCTGTTCAGGCTTTGTTCACACAAATCTGGAGAATTTATTCAACCACAACATCGAAATATTTGGTGTTGCATAAGGTAGGTCGAGAAGCTTTTATTCGACTTTCAACAATTGTAACAGAGCTTTATTCGATCAAATTTTTGATTATTCAGCGTTTATTAGACATCATGCTTCCTTAAACAGCGTTGGTATAAAGGTATATAGAGACGCTTGATTTTCATGTTAAAATAATATTTGATCAAACACTATTTATATATTTATTAAACGATTATTCAACTACGGGATAATTAATCCGAAAATAAGAACGGGACAGAGAGAGCAGGCAGGGTGTTTTTCTCTCTCGTTAGTGTTTGTAGTGTCATTACTTTTGCACGGCACATAGATCCTAGAAAATTTATTACATACACACATATCATAGGATGGGATTAGAACCATGACCTTCCGATCACCAGACGCTTGCCTTGCCATCTGAGCTATCCTAGAATACATCAAATGGGCTGCTAAATAAGTAATAAAAGCTTGAATCTGAAAACCTATCAGCACTCCCAGCCGTAACTCTAGCTAATTCAAGGAGATGTGAGAATGATTAATTCATTCATAGTTGTTTAACATGAGACCAACGCTACCTCTCCATCTCTCTAATTTCGATGGAAAGAATGCTATTATTTTCAATAGATCCATGAATTGGTTGTCGTTAGTGATACGATCTATGATTACGATTTAAATTAATTAGGCGTAGAAAATAAATTAGAAAATAAATAAAAAAAAGGGTTGAGGTTGGGATTGAACTCGCGACCCTCTACTTGGCAAGCGGAAACGGTAACCACTATGCTACCAATTTCGTTTTGTTGTTAGCCTGAAGCAGTGTTGTGGAATAATGAGTGAATACGCCGTTTGTAAAGCATTTACAAAGCATGAAATTAAAACATGGACAGCATTTACAAAGCATGAAATTAAAACATGGACGCATAGTGGTATAAGAGCTATTCTGCTGACTGTATTCACCATTATTCTACAATATTATTAAGCCATGCAATGGAATCTAATAATGAAGCTAGAAAACAGTTATTAGACGTATAATAAAGCATGTTATTAAATCAATTTAAAACAGTCGAATTAAAGCGTCAATGTATGTAAAAATTACACTTATTCAGTTTGTTATTAGATCAAACTTCTGGTGTTGAATCAGGAAGACAGTCATCGTTTGTATAGCTTTAAATAAGTATATTAATCAAATCAAAGCAATCAGCGGAATGAAGGCGCATCATCGATCTCAATGAGGTTTTCTGAGCACATAATTTGATAACCCGTTTTATTCAGCATTGTACACTGTTGTAAAGCATTTATTCAATCTATATGCTTATTTGTGACTCCAACTTGTTTGTTGGATAGTGTTGTGGAATAATGAATCTAATACGTCGTTTATGAAGCATTTACAAAGCATTCAATTGAAACATGGACGCATCGGGGTATAAGAGCTATTTTGCTGACTGTATTCACCTTTATTCAGCAATATTGTAAAGCAATGCAATGAAATCTAATAATGGAGCTAGAAAACATTTATAAGACGTCTAATAAAGCATTTTGTTAAAGCAATTGAAAACAGTTGAATTAAAGCGACAATGTATGTGCAAATTACACGTGTTCAGTTTGTTATTAGATCAAACTTCTGGTTCTAAATTAGGAAGACAGTCAACGTTTATAAAGCTTTTAATAAGTAAATAAGTCATATCAAAGCAAACGGCGGAATAAAGCCGCATCTATCGATCTCAATGAACTTTTTTCAGCACATAATTCGACATCCTGTTTTATTCAGCATTGTACACTGTTATTCAGCATTTATTCAATGTGTATGCTTATTTGTGACTGTGAATTGTTTGTTGGGAAGTAAACCTCCCCTTAAATTATATGGAATAATGGATTCAACCACTTGCAGATTTTAATATGTTCCGTTGGATGATTGAAAGCAATTATAAATCCATATGATGATCTTATTCTCTGTATAAACTATCTGACCAAAAATGGTATTCAAATTGATGATGTTAAACTACGATCAGTTTTGTAATCTTATTTCATTTCTAGACAGTTTAGATATCGATTCAGATTTTTTAGAAAGCTCATGCTCCATGAGCAATGGACAAAGTTTTTTTAAGCTTTTCCTGACCGTAGCACTTTCTTAGAACTAGAAGTACCTAATATGCCAGTACTATTTTTGCATTCCCACACATAACGCAAACGTTGAAAGGGTTTTTTCTTTGATGAACGCACAGTGAACGAAAGAACGAAACAGGTTTAATATTACTTCAATTAAATCACTCTTGCAAGTGAAATACAACATGAAACATAAACATGTTCTACTTTCTATACCGATTTGATTATAAATGACAAACTGCTTGATGCAATTGGAAGCTCGGAAAAGAATGATTAACAAGTGGTTGGTTAAAATGCGTTATTTTACTGTAAAAATGTGATACGATAAAGTAGAGCAGAAAATGTGTTTTTTTTTCATCTTGTCCTCTTTTAGGGTTAACTACCCCATTTCCGGCCTATTAAGCATAACCCGCACTTAGTCTTTCTTAATCTAGTTCAGTTTAGCACCAAACGGAATGTTTTATTACTGATGGCTTCCAAATTTATTTTCCTTTCCGTACGTATCGTAAGATTTGAAAACGAGAAACCAATCGTTGAGATATTGTCAAAAGTCCAACACTGCTTCTTGACGCCAAACTCGGCCTACGGATTTTAAACTCGCCCTAACGCATTGAAACGCAATTAAAACGCTAATGAATTCACTTCGGCCTTTCGGATGAAGATAAAAATTGATTCAGTCGGAGCGCTTCTTTTGTTTTTGGGAATAATGGGTGCAAACCTTCATACCACGCGTTCTCATTGACTTGGTTCGGTAGCTTATTAACTAGAGTATCGTACCAAACGCATAATTGACTTGTTAACTCTGAAATCATGGATTTATTTGAAGTTTTCTGCTCGATAGGCCCAAAATGGGCGATTAGGCCGAAGTAGTTCTCTACCCTACTATATAATTTGTATATAATTTGAAGCGAAAAGTCCTCCTTTCCGATTATTTGATATGGTAACCCTAAGTATGGAACATCTTCTGTTCAAAAGAACGAGAAACCATCGGGCGGGAAAGGGAACGTTAATCACTGAAATTTTCTCTTCCACAATCATCCATCCATCTAGGCGTCAAATTAAAACCCAGAAATTTAACCGATTGACAGCCAAAGTCGTCGGTATTTACTTTCTTTCAGTGCATTATGATAAAGGCATGCAGGCTTCGGTAGCTGTTGTGTGTTCTTCACTGAAATACACCATGTTTCGCTGATCTTTAGTAGAGTAAATTTTATTTACTTTGTATCAAACTTTTATTCTATCACTATCCACATAAAAGTTCCATATCCAGTGAAATTCCTTTTTACAAGGGAAGATTATGCAAATAGTGACAGCTTCACAAGCTAACTTGAAATTACCCATTCATGGGTAAAGAAAAGACCCTTTTTAAAGAAAAGTGTCTTAACTCTTTAATGAATAAATGTGTTTACCCATTAATGAGCATCTGTTAACCATTAATGAGTTACAGTTACTCATTAATGGGTAACAGATGCTCATTAATGGAAAAAAAACTACTCATTGATTTAGTTAAACCACTTTTCTTCACAATTGTAGTCTCGGAAAGCTCCTGCAATCTTGTGAATGGCTTCAAATGTTACCGCTATTCGAATATCAGTCTCATATCATGTGGGCTTTAGATTTATATGGAACTGTTATACGTATAGCGGCACCATATTACACAACAAATTGAATTTAATAGACCACAAACGGCAACTAAGAGGATAGTAATTACGGTGATAAATGTTTACAATATGTGAAGCGCTTTTTTTTTTATTTCGGCTGAACTAAAAATCCCCGTCTCATATCAAGTAAATTGTCACCCTCGCGCGCGTACAAAAGTAAACCGCAAATGTTGAAAATGGAAATCATCCACCGAAATAATTGTCCACGTCTACGTAGGTATACTTCGTGGTTTCCGGCAGCGGTCATCATCATCAAGTGCGACAAGCTTCGATATTTGCACAATATTGATGCGGAATAGTGGAAAAATCAGATTTACAAACACATTAGGCACATGTCAGTGCGAGAAGAGAGTTTAATTTCCACTCGCAATAGATGTCACGTCCCGTACTCCATAAATCAGTTGTATCATACTGATTTATGTATATTTGCATTTTCAACCCTACTTGTGCCCCATCCAAGCAAAAGAGCCATTATATTTTGAGCAAACAACAAAAAGCATTTCACCGGTTTATTTACATAATAAAACAATAATCAGCATAATAATCACCTAATACCATTGGAATTGTTTCATGCATGTGAATTGGATTTAAAATTATTCCAGTTTTTCAAAGCTTCGTTTCAGCTTCCGCATCCAAAATGTTCCTAATATCCTCCATGACCTGGTGGAACGCAGCACGCAATTTGTGACAGCTTGTTACTTCGGAATCCTTGTAAGCCGTCAGTATGGACCACACGTTATCCGTTAGCATCGAGTAAAAGCAACCGTACCCATCCATAACCATCGGGGCCACAAAACCACAGTTGATTGTAAATCCTAAGGTACTGGTTGATAGGATAAAATTTCCACCGCCACCACTAAAATTCAGTTCGATATATGAGAACAAAATTTAATTACATTTATTTAGTTACATTACCTCTTGTTATACAAAGGATCATCATACAGCTCTGGAATGGGTTGTCCTTGGTCATATGCCATGCACCATAGACCGAAAAGATGTCTGTCTATTCCCTTTCCTTTCCTAGCATCGCTCATCAGTTCCATTTGACGATTTGCCGCAGTTCGGAATAATTTTGCTTTGGCACTAGCCGTCTCTTGTGGATTCTCCATGGCCCTAATGAAATTCACCGTATCCACACTGCACGATCGGCAAGTTTCCGTTCTACCTTTGTAGTACTGCCGCATCATTGCCGTTTCGTAAGTTGGAGCGAAGCTTCCATGAAGTCTATAATAAGCCAAAACCAGGGCAGTCTGAATCCAGGAATCCGGATGGATTTTCTTAGATTTCATGTACTCCTTTCCATATCCGACGAACTGGTCTACTGTTACGGCAACACAATTTTGCTGAAAGTATTAGCTCGTGAATGTTAAATGTACCAACAAATAAAAAGGTAAGTTAGTACCACTTTATCCGCAGCATCCTTCATTCGAATAATTTCCGCTCGAATCTCATCATCTATGTCGAACACTAGTTCCGTCGGTTGCACCAATTTTCTCGGAGGTATCGACCAATCTGGAATTCCATCTTCAAACACGCTCAGCATAGCATACAGACTCATTGAGACTGAAATTGTCCCATCATAGCAAGAATGCTCGCCTAGGCAACCCATCCTTCCATTCTGGAAGCATACCGTCGCACAACTTTTATCCGCCCACCTCGAATTTAAATCACCAGCTAATGTTATTGCAGCCACCTCCGAATGATCATTCGGGCAGTTTGTATCCAGCGAAAAAATAGAAATGGCACTCTCAACGTCCATCAACGTTTTTTTGTTATTCTCCGACAATTCCAGCAAGTGATTTCTGTTGCGGGCCCATGACGTTCGATCGTCGTTAGTCAACACCGGTAGGTCTGTATCTTTGACATCCTCGCTGTCTACTTTATGCTTAATCTGCTGTAAACATAAAAGAAAGTCTTGTGGGGTCAAAATCTCCCCATCCTCATGGAGTCCTTCTATTTTGAAAATCCTTCCTTTATAAATCACCAAAATATGCGAGGGGCAGTGACCTTCCTTTTCAGTCTTAAAATAGCTTATAACCTTATCCATTTCCAGCCCTGGAGCTCGCACCGTGTTGAATAATCGTTTGTAAAGATCAGACGAAAATTTTATATTTTTATCGATGCTAACAATAGGTCGCAGCTTTTCTCTTCGAAGCAACTGCCAAAAACGCATATTTATAGTGCAACAAATGGATGCACTTTTCAAAAAATTATCTGGAACGGGATCCAGACCCACAGCTTCGAATATCAGGGGTTGTGCCATTACACAATACGGCATCAAGGGCATGCGTAACGTCAGATAGCCATAATCCTCCCACCATTTGTCAACCTGAAATGGAAATAGTAGAAAAAATAATCAATCAATCTTTAGCGATAAGCAACAATCGATTCATCAATTAAACTCGATCTTCAGCTATCACAACAATAGATTCTACAAGGCTCTCCTCTCTATATAAGTTACTGAGTCAATAATCACAGTGAGTAAACATTCGTTACAATGATTCTTGCAACTACAGTATTGTTTAGTCTCCTCTTGGTGATTGTCCAAGGCGATCCAATCATCTCTGGGAACACCGTTGGTGATATTGTGACCGTAAACGTTGAAGTGAAAGCAGATATTCACAATGAAATACACCAGAATTTCGACAGCTTGGCACCATCCATGGTGAATGTCTCTAATGAACATTCTATTTGGGACAGAATACAGGAAATTGTTGGTCAGTTACCTTTGAACCCACAAGGTAACGATGATCAATTTCCAGATGTTGTCAAACCGGATAACGAAGACGCCAAAGTAAACGAAATTGTTAAACAACTGTACGGAATACTGTCTGGAAAACCCATTGTGTGGAAAAAATTGCAACAAGTAATGAGACACTTGCCAGAAAATCAGGCAATCGAAAACCACAATAAGGACAAAGATAATAATCAATAAAGCGATAAAATGTTCATAAATTTAGAGTTATTTGTCCGAAAACTCCACAGAACAAAAATGATACGCATGTTTTAAAAAGATTCGAATGATAAAAGTAAAGATCTAGCGATAAAAGTAAGATGGGGCAAAAGTTCGAGTGGTACAAAGTTCATTTTGGATTGGAAACGTTTTCGAAACGTTACGGCATCAGTTTGTTTCTAGTACAGTTGAAAATCGGAATAACCAACTGGCGACAATCAATTTTACCCTCGTTTTGTACATTGAACATAGAGTCGGAAGTAGTGCGCTGAATGTCGCATCATTGCGCGACTGTGCCGCCAGGATGTTCTGAGGCATAAAATCTCTGATCAGCCTTCCTTCGAAAGGGAAGTTAAGCCGTTGTTCCCCGGTTCATGAGTTGATGGGTCGATAGGTAGGGTCCAGGTTTGGGAGCCACCTTCCTGGCGTCGGTAGCATTGGTACTCAGCATGGAAAATAAGTTCGACGGAAAAACAAATCAAGGAAAAAAAAAGCAATATTCCTAATATGTACTGAATATCAAACAAACATGTTTTATCATTCAAAATGTATTACTGATTAGCATGTCACCATGATCGGTAAATGCCATGGTCATACTTTAACTATTTGTTTTATTGTTTTACTTCTGCGTGAAGTCAACGATTTACATAGTTGAAGATGTCATGGTCATAGTTAAATGCTGCACAGTAAACAATGTAAAGTGTCCAACAATTGTCAAATTGCCCTATGTTTAATTGCATGAATTTTAATATTATTTGACTGACGCCCTTTAGCATATCATCATTCAAACAATCGATTTTAGGGCTACAGAGAATGCAGTTTTTAGTTTAAAAGTGGTTTGTTTGACTTAACTAAGCAACACTGAATTCGAATTATGAGATATTAAAGTAAACTAATTCCAATGTAAATAAATTTGAGGTTTTTTTCTGAATTTCCAACCATTTTTAGAAATGGCCTACATTTTGGAGGCAGGGGCAATTTGATCACGTTGGCTTTCGAAAGTTTATTCCCCAACCTGCCTCGACTCTTCCGTCGCTTACAGGTCCCTTAAGTATCGGAGCATGCGCTATTCGATCTCTAGAGAGCCTTGAATTTGTTCTCCTCGCTCATTCTGCAGTCATGTTATCGCAGTTGGAGGTTAAAATGCTCTCTCTCGCCAGTAAGGGCGGATGAAATTATTTGAAAATTATTACCGCTGCAACGAGAGCATTTCCGCTTTTACGTAGTTGATGGTTACCAGCATGGCAGGATTCTGATAGTAGCCATCATACGTGAGTCGTAACTGTTCGTATAGACGTTGTTCAACGTTGACGATTTTAAATCTTCGTTCGACTATCAGCGAAAAAAAATTTTGTTTCCGTTTTACGCATGAGAGCCACCATGCCATCCAGGTGGGGAAATTCCTGTGCTGGTGGGTCCAAAACTACCACCACACTTCGAATGTTCTCTGCGGTTAAGATTTGAGGGCGGAGGGACCAGAAACCACGTTCCTGTTCTCGACCAATTTGGGGAAGACAAAGCTTTGTGGTCAGTGAACGACCATACGTGCGTGGCAGCGCTCCGCAGATGCGGTCGAGCCTGGATGCCGCATTGTGTGTAACGTACGTGGGTGCGGGGGATGTAAGGTTCAGTATCAGTCACTTCTTTTTGACGTAGGACTACGTCTTTGATATCTATATGGGGGTACACTTTGTGAAAACCGAAAATGGAACATGTAACAAATTAAGAAAGATTTTGAACGTTAATAACTCAGCTGTCCCTGGTCCAATTTCAATAATTTTATCTCCAATCGATCAGAAATATGGCTACGCTTCCGAATGTTTATTTTCAACAGGAAACTATTGAAAAACTGGTAAATGTCCAGCATTGTCCAAAAGCGTTGAATTAACTAACCAATTACCTACATGCATATTAGAGTGATGCAAAATTTGAAATTTTCGCTCCACAATATTTAAACGATTCCAAATCGGACCTGACTAACCTCTCAAAATTTGAACCCATTTGGTGAGAAACTGAGATGGCACAAACCATTTGAAGTTTGTATGGGAATTACTATGGGAAAACCAAGATTTTTGTTCATGTCGATCTAATAATTCACTATATCGGTCTACTTCAAAAGTTTTCAACTGTGCTTGTAGGAAATTTTCCCAGCTACAACTTTGCTGAAGACCACTTTTTGATCAAATGCAAGGATCGAAAGTTATCAATGGTTCAATGCGCTGATGTCTTATGATCATGCTCAATCAACTGCTCAGCAGGCAACATTGGTGTTTCTGGGCGTTGAATAGGACACAAAAATCATGGCTACTATGTCAGACTACAAAATACAGTGTTGCCTACAGAGCAGCTGCTTGATCATGTCATAGGTTTACTAATCTCTTAAATAATTAATAACTTTCTCCTGTCTCGTTTTACATAGAAACGATCTTCAGCAAAGATGTAGCTGAGAAAATTTTCTATAAGTATAGCTATCGAACTGTTTCGCAGCTCAATATGGAAAAAAAACTAGAAGGCAATGAACAAAAAGTTGAGATTTCCCATAGTAATTTACATGTAAACTTCAAATGGCTTGTGCGAAGTCTGTTTCTAACCAAAAGAGTTGTAACTTTCGAAGGCTTTTCAGGACCCGATTTGAAACCATTTCAGCACTGTGGAGCGAAAAAGTCAAATTTTGCATCAGTCTAATGCATATGCTGCTTCCCCAGCACAGTTGTCAGAGAGTAGTAAGTAGACGAAACAAATCGAAGAGGCATTCGCCTCCGATCCTCGGGCGCGTGCGAATAGGGAAGATGGAATTGCGTAATATTTTGCACACTCATCGCCATATTCAGAACCAAACGCAAATTCTTCGAGATAACTACCATCCGTCGTCTGGCTCACCGTGGCAGTGTCTGACGTATCTCCGGTCTGATCGACGAGGTGTGCTGAAGGGGTTCCTGGAAAATGAGGTCCGTGATGCTGTCACCTACACTAAACACGCCAAGCGTAAGTGGCCATGGATGTCCTCTCAATAAAACGGCCCTTTTCAGGGCCATCAAGCTTACATAAGTAAAGAGTTGGAATAGATTTTATCTGTGCTTGTTTGTCCATATTCAGAACCACAAGCCCTCAACGACCACACAAAATGTTCTCCAGAGTTTTAATCTTGTAACAAAACTTGGAAGCAGGGGTGCAAGTGATTTTTTCTCTTAATTCTTAATTTTCTCTTAATCAACTTTCTCTTTGAAAAAGATTACTACAAATTTTATACGCCTAAATTCAAAAACGGAAAGAGTTGATATAATAGATAATTGATCAATTAAAAGAACTAAATGATCTTCACATTTATTCCGTCCACTGGCGGTCCTACGTCAAGCTTCCGTTCGTGCCCCTAGGCACAGACCCTTCTAATTTTTTTAATTTTCTTCTTTTTCACTTCTGTTAAGGTTCGACAGGTGACAGTAACCATAAATCCATCTGTTTCTTTTACGTCGATTTGACAGCCCGCCCCTATGGGTGCAGTTGCAGCGAATCGGACTGAGTAGGTGGGATAGCCGATCGTCTAATCAGCCGTTGCCTTGTTGTATTTTGTTGTAATAGGTAGTTGTTGTTTTTAACTGTTTAACACTATTTTTTGATCATTCTTTTTTTTTTCATATGTTTAGTTGGGTTTTTTCAAAAAATCCACAACTTCTCGAAGGAATCCGATGTCCTTCGCTTCGAATACCTGTTTGATGGTTTGAAATTTACCATCAAAGCCATGTATTTGCCTCATTTGAGTGTATCGTTTACAATGTAGTACAACATGTTCTGCAGTTTCAGTCACGTTGCATGTATCGCAATTTGGACTGTCTCTCAGTTTAATTTTATCCAGTATTTACTAGAATCGTGTCCGGTTAGCAGTCTTTTTAGCGTTATCGTTCCAATGTTGTTGAGAGATAAGTTGTAGTACCATAGTTTTTCTTTGAATTCCAGCTGGATCTCAAAGAATTTCTTTCCTTTCTCCTTGGCATAATCCTTATACCAAATATTTGTATTTATCTCTTTTGTTTTCAGCAATTGTAAATATGCGTCTTTCAACAATATAGGGTGCTTTAGAAGCTCGCCGTGCTGCGCTCCATGTTTGGCCAACGAGTCGGCCAGATCGTTACCTCGGATGTCGATATGGCTTGGAATCCACTAAATGTCCACCTTCCATTCCCGGCATGTTCGAATGATCTCGTCCGCTATTTCGCTTCTCTCCAGATGCCTCTGGCTATGATCCAACAGCATGCAAGATGACAGTGAATCCGTGAGAATCACGTCGTTCTTCAGTCGACTTCCACTGATCTCTTCTGTTGCAACCTTAATTGCTACCAACTCAGCAGTCAGCGAAATCCTTTTGTTCATGGATTCCA